AGTCATAGTAGAAGGCATAAGCTAGGATTTTTAACTTGTAGCTTTAAAATAAGTGCTTATAAGTATTTTTTAACTTTATTCAAATACTTCAAAACTGCTTAAAAGCTATTTTGATTTAAAAGAAATTAAAATAAGTCAATTCAAACGAACACTCATTATTTACTCTATTTTAATCTCATCTATCTCAAATACATTTTAATATGACTTAATTTAATCTAATTCTACCATTTGATATCCCAATATAGGATTTCAAAAGTAGCGCTTGATTGAGTTGCGTCAAGACTTATTCAAAAATTATTTGAGTTAGAAATAGATTGGACAAAATAGGCAAAAAATTGAGATACAATTCAATCTATTCAATTTTACCAAATTTTAAATTCTTTATTTATTTTAATGTTTATTTAATAAAAAAGCATTTTTAAAAATAACTAAAACAAATTTTCTGATGAATTAATCAGAACTCTATACTTAGAAAATGTCGATTAGTTGACTTTCTTAATTTTAAAATTAAGGAAAAATGCACGAGTATCCCTTCAACCTATGTTCGAAATTTTAGAGACACACTTATACTATACTAAGGTCCTATTAATTACCTCCTGAACTTATTTTATAAGTAATTTTCTACTCCTTTTTGTCCTACGTGGCACTAGCTTGAAAAAAAAATCAAACAACGTTTGACCCATAAGATAGTGCCACGTAGGCCAAAAAGAAGTAGAAAATTATTAATAAAATAAGTTTAGAAAGATAATAGAAACTTTGTATAGCACAAATATGTTTTTAAAATTTTGATTATAAATTACTGAAGTACTTGTGTATTATCCCTAAAATTAAGAATGAAAAACAGGGGAACCTCTTGTTTGCCTATTGTGGTAAAAGAAGGTAAATGAGGTGGAAACAAAATGGCCATTTTCAAGACAAAAATGAAATCAAAGTAGTCACACCAAATTAATATATTCTGTTATGATAAAGTGCTTTAATAAAGAAGGAAAAAATGTGCGTTAATTAATCATAATCAACTTAACTTTATACTCAAATATAAGACATGCATGCATTGACTTTATTAAAAATAAGAATTAAGTTTTTATTATAATTCTCTTCATTTTCTTTATAAAATTAACAGTAATTTTAATAAACCATCTCACTGAAAATAAAATAAGAAAAACAAATATAAAATATAGTAATAATATTTTTAAAAAATAAAATATATATATATATATATATAT